TTATTAGATGTCATACTGTGCTGCTCGAAGTGACTGGAGCAGCTTTGTCCATGTCACACTGAGGGTCGTGAAATGGCTGTGATTTGTCTGCACTGAAAAGGCTCTGGTCAGGAAGTGTCAGCCTAAGTGCTCCTTATGAGCTTCAAATGAGAGGACGAGAGGACATTGTCAACTACTACACTACTACTACACTGTTAACTAAAGGACAATCGGAGAGAACCCTGTGCTGGATAAGATCTGAAAGAGCTGAATGCTGTTATTTATAAATGTTCTGCTGACAGATATACAGACAGACCACAAAACATCAAAGAATTACCCATTAGTTCACAACACGATATTTGCATTGTCCGTATCCATGGAGACTGTGCAAGAGGCTAGCGAAGGAGCTAGCTATGGACATTTAAGATGCTATAGGCTTTTTAAAACATATGTGGCAGCAAATGTGGCTGAAGGCCTTCCAGAGGAAATACTTTGAGGGAATTTGAGTTGTATCACCAACCAAAACACCAGAGCAGGAAAAAGGCTTTTCCTGTTGTGTTCACCTGGTTCACACATTTTCAATAAATCAAACGTAAAAATCATCAGCTTTATCCTATATGGTAAGCACACTATGGTCAGCTGCGGACCAGGACAAGCCAGTTTTAACTCAAATACAGCACTAACCTAAACCACATATTATTAGCTATTAAGGACCTACTATGTATAGCAGTCTGACACATATTTCAGTAGTATTTTGTTCCTGGGCTGCCACCTGCTCCAGATAATGAAGCAGACCTCTCCTCAGTGCTGACAGCAGGGCATTGTGGGAGCTGCAACTCGAGTGCCAGCACTGGGGGGTGTGAGTGTGATGTGGGCGTCGCTTCAGATATGGATAATCCTGCTAGCTAGCACCTCAGCTCTCATTACCAGACTGAGCTTTGAGAGCAGATCACCTCAATCATTTAGATCCATACCTTTCCAGTGACAATACGGCTACTTTCTATGTGGTGGTCCATCTCCTCTCTCTTGTGGGTGTATACTGTTCCTCTCTCTGGCTTTTCCTGGAGTCCACTGGAAGAGCTCTACAAAAAGCATAATGAAAGATTTAGTGTGTGAGACAATATGTCTGAATATGACAGGGAATATAGAAAAGCATCATTATTTCAGTGGATCAGTTCAAGTCAAGGCACATATCATAACAATCACTACAGTGAATAACAGATCTTTCACCTAACTCATGGGAATGATAAATATTTCTGTAAGTGTACCTTCTGTCCTTGATGTCAATAGAAGCAGGGAAAATGGGCAAGCATACAGATTGATTGTGAGTTGCTAACAGCAGTTCTTGTCTCTAGTGGTCTGTGCAACAGGGAGGGAGCAGTGACCGGTGATGCACTTTTGAAACATAGGTTGGCTGTGGAGTAAGAGGTGGGGTCACGATTTTGTAGAAACAAATAAAATCACAGAATGAATCACCGAATGACAATATCACCAAAATATCTTCTACCTATCAAGATTACATTTTTATTTCCATATCATCACCCAGCTATACTGCAGGGTCTGTTTAAAATGGTAAGTGGTAAATGGTCATATTTTTATAAAGTGCTTTTCCACATTCGAGTCATTCAAAGCACTTTACATGAAGGAATTGTTCACCCATTCTCATACACATTCATATACCAGTGTACGCAGACACTGGGGGCGAGGTTGGTTCTTACCCAAGGACACAACGATAGAATTCATCTGTGGGAACTGGAATCACAACGCCAACATGGGTCAGTGATACTGTATGTCAAGAACGGGATTCAAACCACCAAACTTCGAATCAGAAGACAAAGACTCTACCAGTTGAATACAGGAAAAAAAACACTCTGGGTTTGATGGATAGGTTCAGACAAGTGCTCGGTTTGTTGTTAATGGCTGGTGGTCATGACTGTTATTAAAGACGAGGTCATTATTGAACCATTGAAATAAATATTTAAGCACAAGCATACCCTATGGCTTCTACTTTAAAAGGGTTAAGTTTATATTCAGTGCATTGAGTGACAGATCTTAGATTTTATGCTAGTACAAGTAGGTATTCAAGTTTTCATAATGAGCTCTGAGTTAAGAGGACAAAGGTAATGAACATGGAGTGAGTTTGAATACAGCTGCTGAAATGTAATTGCATAGACCCAGAATAGAAAGTGCTTGCCTGTCAGAGCAAGTCAATCACCAATCACAAGACACAGACACTATTACAGGAGAGACAGAGAGACATCCTTTTATGTAGAAAAAGTGGAGCACAGTGGAAAGGACTGTTTAATTGTGTATGTTTAAGAAATCCCACACGTCACAGGTCCTTAAAGTAGACACTAGCCAGAGGTGATATTAATGTTTTATTTGTCGGCTCTCTGGACCCTCGCCCTCAGCCTGGCGCTACTTTAACTGTCTTCAAAGATACACAGACATGCCGCAGTTACATCAGGCCAAAAGGGGATGAATCTGAATTATTGTGTCTTCTAAGTAACGCTTATTACACACTTAGAATAGCTGTTTGTGTCTTGTAAAACAAATCTAGTACTGAAGTGTTAGTGTGTGTGTGTTAGTGTATTTTGTCTTTTATCAAACAATAGATAGAAACGCAAACGTAAGGAAAGGGGGAATAGTAAATTCCAGTGAAACTTAACTTCAGTATAGTCTTTATGAACTTATTTTTGTTTGTTTGGTAGGGATAGTACATCAGTCATCACTTGTATTATGTAAAATTGACTCTTGTGATGTTTAAGCCATGTTATAATACTGTTACTGCCTCAAAAACATACCTGGAGTTGTGTTTTGTTTCATTCACACATGTTTAAGTAACCGTTTATTATTAGTGTGTCTAAAACTCAAAATACTCTGTTCCACAGTGATGTCATGAAGGGTTAGTTTTCAAGTTAACACACCTATTACCTTTTGTTAAGCAGAGGCAATTCCAGGTCTGAAACTTTTGAAAAGATACTACTGAAGGTATATGGGGTTTAAAAAACACAATGGAGCACTTCCTGTATTAGCACATGACAACACGAGGTGGAACAGAGTGCTTTCTGCTTGAGAGAAGACCTCAGGTATAACAGGTTTGTTTGTGATGCGGAAACAACATTATAACATAGATCAAAATAAAGGACCTTTAAGTCTACACTTTGCTCACAGTAATAAAAGATTCTTATATAATATCAGGAAATGTTACACAGAAAGATTTAGAATTGTATGACATTAAAACAACCTCAATCCAACACTTACATACCAGCCTGGATAAATGACAGTGGCGCCAGTAGATTTCCAAAAATACTTTCCAAACTCACACAGGGAGGTAACCTTAAAAAAACAAAAGGAAAGATTATTTAATATGTTTAAAGTAATAAGGAACTATATGTATACATATTTTATTGTAGTTATAATATTTTTAAACAAGGCCTGGATTTGTAAGTGGTTGTTTAAATGTGGGGTCAGAAGTCTTTGTGGCAGAACAATCCTATACCAGGATCAATGAAAACAGCCCAGAGGCGATATCAATAGCTTATATCAGCCTGACCTATAACATCCAAACAGCCTGTCCATCAGGGGAGCAGCATTAACACCTAGTACTCAGACCGCCCACACACACCCACATTATCAAACATTTTCATAATAGTAATGCATTTGTTTTATATAGAGCTTTTTTGGAAACTCAAAGAAGCTTTACACTGCATCACTCTTTTCACATCTGGACTGATATAAGTGAAGTTGCTTCAAATCTTTCTGTATATAATTTTGATCTACTTTTTCTTGTATGTATATTTGTCATAATTTGCATGCAAGTTTATAATAACTTGTAATTTTGCCAAACACATATGTAACTACAATATGATATTTCCACAAGGTAGAGAAGTATATTATCAAAATGTAATTGGTTACCTTTTGTGGACAGACCTCATGTCCTCCCGCCTCACTTCTCCCTCTCTGACCTTTACAGGAGTCCATTGGCAGAGCACAATTGAGACTAGGAGCGTAATAGTTGTGTGAAACCAGGAACATAAATGTGAATCTAAAAAAGTAAAATGACACTTCTTTTAGTTTAACTTAGATTTAAAAAAGAAAAAAAGTAGTAGTACACAGTCTTGTGGCTGGGTGGTCCAGGGATAACTTGGCACACAGGGAACATGTCAGATCTGTGGAGAGAAAACATCTGTCAATACACTGAATGACTATGGGGAAGCCCATGACAGTTGTGTAATAGGCAACACCAAGTGGAGCAGGCATTTCACCCACAGACTGTATGTCTATGATTACATCTGACAGCTCTCAGTGGCACACACAGGAAAAAGGCTAGTGACACCACAGGCTAGTGGATTTATCCTTGACTTCTACTCATACTTAGCAGCCCCTGAAACCCTGACTATTTTCATGACTTGTAGTGGAAACCTTTTAGACCTATTGTTCATCAACAATCTGTATTACAGCGTTAAATAGCCACTTTACACCGGTTACCATTTTGATCTGTGTTAGTAATTTATCAATTACTATCACACGGACCACGTGGTTTGGCTTAAGCTTCACGAGAGTAAACTACATTTTACTCAATCCTTCATTAACTTACCGTAAAGTTCGTGAACGTAATTTAATAATAAAAGAAACTATGCAAATTACCAACTTTGTCCTCTCAACTACAGGTCGGTTTACAGGTGACATGTTTTCAGTCTTCTGTCCAGTGAAGCTCAAAATATGCGCTAAATTTCACGTGTGCGTGATTACGCACGCGCATATGCTAACCTTGGTCCATGCCATGCTGCTCGATTCTTAACAATGCAAAGAGTGTTGCTCAAAAATCTGTTGTTGTTGTTTACTTATTACTTATTTTAATGAGTATAAACAATCAAATCTAGGCAAGACAAGTATGGACACAAGCCAGTGCATGAGCATGAGAAGGAGATGAGCTATAGAGAAACGCCAGAAGGAAAATCCAACATTTTGCTCATTTTCATTCCATCATTTAACTTCCACGTTTTGAGAATCCAATTGCCTAAAATATGGAGCAACTTTTATTGAATATCACATTGAATAGTATTTTCACAAGAAAGCACCAGCATATTTTTTGTGAATTGTTACAACACCACATCAAATCGATTCAGTCAAAACACACTCTTCTCAGTGTTTCAGAGGAAAGGTGAAGCTCAGAGCCTCAGGCCATTTCATCCATATGAAGGAAAGAGATTAAACAGCTTCACTGTTATTGGACAACCTGTGGGATCCCCTCCAGAGCTGATCAAGGCCTGGCTATAATCCAGTCTCTGCTTTTAGGCAATTGAAGCAAAAACTGTCAAATTGTAAGTGGTTACCTGGCAACTGTAACACACATGAATGAATCACAGCCTCACCACTTGAAAGGTCATTGTTGTCAGTTTCTTAGCTCATGTTTGTCTTCACAGGGAGTTGTTTCCAGTCATACTCTAGAAATGGCAATGATGTAAAAGAAACCAAAACTCAACTATACTATAGAATTTTTAATTTTATTTTGTCTAATTAAAACAATGTGCTTGAGGAAATTAAAGAATCATCTCAAATGTGGCCCACAAAATACAACTTGGCAATAAAATGTCTATTAAATGTGTATTAAAGTCTGTAGTCTTGAATCCTTTTATTTGTGCACGATTAAGGCTGCACATCATTGATCTTCCTCTTGCGGTAGTTGAGGACAAGGCTGGAGGCGGTCAGCTGAGAGGCCTGGCCCTTCTCCCAGCTCTGGAAACCATTGAGTCCGCTCTGGCCCGACTTGAACAGGGCTTTCTCCAGACAGTCCAGTTTCTCCACGAGGGCAGACGTGTCTTCATTGTAGGCGTTTTGAGAGGAGTCCATTGTTCGCCGGAAACGCCCAATGAACGTCTGTGAATGTGAGGAAAGAAAACAAAATAGATTGCAAATAAATGACAACCACTCATTTATAAACACTATTATTGTATATTATAGGTGTGTGATATTTATCAGAGACTGCACTGGCTTTACACAGGGTACATACATTTAATTACAGATCTAAATAGGAGAGCTTCATGGAAAATATGTATGCTTTGGTAGGCCATGATCTACAGAATAATTAAGAAAACTACCATGTACAAAGCAATCACAGTCTATACTATACAAATCTGGAGTCCAAATGCTTTATGTCCAAAACCCATTTGTGCAATGCAGCTCTATAAGTGTAGTCCACCTGCGGGCTGTAACCTTGACCCAGCCTTGGATAACATCAAATCCTTTGCAAAATGGTTTCTTCGTAAGATAAACTTGGTATTCAGTGTTAAAGTTGCAAAGATAACAGAAAACTTTGACTCAGCTTTGGAGGCTGCTTCTATCAACAGTAGGAACTTACTGATACTATGGCTCCCCCTTGTGTTAACATTTTTGCAAACACACGAATACAACTCAGACCTGTTTCCCATTTTTTTGCCATTTGAGACATTATGAAAGATAGTTAATACACTGTCATAGAGACTATTAAGTGTAACATGTAAAATACTTGTTCAGATCTTAGGCGACAGATCTAATAAAAGAAAGAGTTACAAGTACAAGTCCGTACCTGTAGCAGTGCTTGAGCAATCTCTGGATTTTCAGGGCTGTCAAAATGCAGCAGCTGTGAGCCCAGGCCGTAGTAGTATGGTCCCATCTTGTGCAAATCCACCACATTAGGGTCCGCAGTGAATACCGTCCTCCAGCCCTCCCTGTAGACTTTGGGCAACTCCACAGAGAGCACTCTCCTCTTCCTCTCATACAGACCCTTCGCCAGCCACAGTGGAAGCTCCATCTTTGAACCCTGATACAGAGGAGAGAAAAATATATCCCTCTAGTTAATCTATATTGGCAGTACATTTGATCTGACGCTAATCACTTATAGCCCACACGTCATATCCGCGGGAATAAATGTACTGTCTATAAGTATTTCACCTCTGATATATCTGGGGAGTCCGTGGATTTCTCCAAAAAGCCCAGACGAGGAAAAGTGCACTCTGTCCGGGTGGGCAGCCTCTCGTGGGACAACAAAATATCATCGAGTGAGAAAAAATTTTCCTCCATCCCGACTCCCGGAGGCACTGGAAGGTACGATTGTGACTCCATAGCGCTAGACATATAACTAAACTAGTTAATTACAACTAAATATCTTGTTAATGACGATAAAAGCATCTAGCGTTGTTTATCCCGATTTCCTGTTTTCCGCTTTTGCTGGTTTGCCGCCGCACCTCAAGGACCAATCACAAAACCGCATTTACTTCTTTGTGTCAAAATGGCGGCAGCTGCACGTAACCACTGATGCACTAGCGCCACCAGGCGGCAAATCATACTTGTGTGTTCGTCATTTTTCAATGCTCTGCTAATACTGGTATAAGTCATGAATGTTTTCCAAGCTGGTTGTAGTTTAGCAGTTTAAAAATGCAAATAATGTTCAACAAAGTAAGTTTGCTAATCTGTGTCTCATTCATTAAATGCAATTATGAACATTCAAAACGCATGAGTGGTGAATATTATGAACTAGGCTTTCAAAGTCTTGGGAGTTTTAAAAGCTACTTGATGTAGTAACAAAATCACCCATTGGGGGACGCAATATGACCACAATATATCTTACTCTTTTCTATTCTGCTTAAAAAAAAAAAAAAAGTCAAAAAAGCCGTAAGTGCTAAATATTATCAGCTTCAGAGCAGCAAGACAGACGGCTTAAGGCTTAATTTCCTTTTTTCTTCTTCTTTTTTTTAATTTTTTTTATTCCTTTTAAATTAATTCTGGCTAGATTAGTATAAGCCTACGTGTAAATAGAGTCTGTATTAGTGAGATTTCATTAGCCTAATAATAATCTCTAGGGCTGCTGTCATCGGCCTGTGCCTACAGTAGGCCTCATGTAGAAGCCTGTTATATATTTGCCTTGGCCAGGAACCGCATATTATAGGCTATGTATAGAGCAGTCTATATAGGTAATTTATAGGTAATTTATGGAGATTTATTGTCCTCCTAAACCACTACTGCCTCAACATATGGTTTATTAATTCCATCTTTTAGCAATTGTTTTGGCAACAGATCTGATCTAAAAGTGTAGTCTGTGTCACTGCGTACACACCTAATGTTACATTTGTTACATCCTGGTCTTTAAAGAAGTCACACAGTCGGTTGAGTATATCATCTAGCACAATTTATTCCACCATTTGTTTACAGTAGCGTTGTAAATGCAGTTTGTTGTAGTAGTCTTCATATACCAGCTCGTTCTGGAGAGTGAGTTACACCCCACATGATTGTAATATAAACAAATATTGTTAAATGAACAAATGAATAAATAAGTCCAGTGGCACTGCTCCACATGGGACTACAGTCCTCTGGGTCTGAGCCACCGTCAGACCTGTTCTAGTCTGTGGGACACACGGAGACAGAAGCATTGAGAGGGAGGCGCCTTCCCAGCAGCTAACACACACGTACACATCCACACACAAACTCATTAATATAAAACTGAACAACAATTACACAACCATCTCTCCTAAAACTGTGACCATTTCACATTTTCAGTGTGTTCAAAACTATTCAAATGCAGCAAGTGATTCATGAGCTTTATTCAGGAGGTAGGAGTTCAGAGCAGTGAATAAAACCTAAAATATGTTTGTTCAAAACAAAACAAGGTGACAATGAAGTCACCTCTTGTTACGGTACTTTTGTTTCATTTGGAAGCAGAGCATATCTATTAAAAGTGCTATTTGCAATACTCACAACTTGTTATACAATATGTTTATTAGTGATGTCTCTTTGCTTGATTAGATGATATAAACAATATTTGAAAAATATTGAGTAGAGTAAATATCTGTTGTTGTTTTTTTTTTTGTTACATCCTCATATTATATTTTGTACATTGTATCACAGTAGTAGGGCATTTTAATCAATGAACTAAACTTGTGCTTGTCCAGTTCTTACTGTCTCTATTGCAGCTCTTGTAACCATAGACTGTATAAAGATATATATACAGTCTATGCTTGTAACCCAGTCAGTCTCTAAGCACATTCAATGTAAACAATAAGAGATACAATATGTTCTCCATCTGTTTGTCCACGTTTCGGGAAATGTCACAGTCACATACATTAACTTTGGGAGAAACGGTTGTGTGGACATCCTGAAGAAGAAGCTAGAGATGACGCACAGACTGAAGACTTGGACTTCTGCACTGTAAACATTAAACCAGTCACAGACACACATCTGTACTCACTCAGTCACATACACAGTGCACATTCACACATGAAGCCAGACAACACACATCACAGACAGAAGAATAGTGGACCAAATGGCTCTGGTAACTTCTCAACATGTGAAGGAAAATAAAGTGGTAAATATTATGTTGTAATAAATAATTCATATATGAAGTCTTTAAAGAACTCATGTTATGCAGAAATGTAGTAGGTTAGGATGATAGACTGTATAAAGGAGTGGACTAAGTGAGTGTGATGTTACCCATAGTGTTCGGCTCTAGTCAATTTCTAATCTCTTCCCATTACTGACCTCGATTTTTTTATGTCACAGAATAACATTTAACGACCAAATGTCACCATCTTACATTACTAAAACAGATATGAACTGAGAGATAGCATTTCTTTGGTAAATTATGAATGAAAGTGATTTTCAAAAGGCTTTCAGTGCAGTTCACATTTTCCCATTGTGAATCCACTATTCTTACTGTCACACAAACACACGCACAAAGCAACAGGAGCGTTAGATACATTGCTGCTCCTTCTCCTCCCCATGTACTTTCTCTGTAGACCCACATACACACACTTGTGCGTTCAGGAGGACTCTACAAGCGCTGTGGGGACTTGTTTGATTACATTTATGGTCGAATTGGCGAGGAGGTCAGAAGCTCTATGAGAAGCACACTTAGACCAGTCTGCGTGAGACTTGGTACTGTCCTGTAATGAGATGAGAGTCCCACTGTATATTACACAGGATAGTTCATCTGTCCGGATCTTCTATGCCTTGTCTCTGTGTCCTCTACTTGCTTTCACTATAACAGGAGGAAGGAGTGGACTGATAGTAGAATGAAGATTAAAAAGTGTTTATAGAGATCGCAAATTGACATTTTAACTGCTTAACTTGCAAGATGGTACAACCACCTGCCTTAGAGATTATCATAATACAGTGATATGTATTATAACTTAAAAACAAGGACTTGAGTTTGACCAAGGCGTGGCCGAGAGCATCTGCGGCTGTTTCATGTCTGCAATGGTCATCCCCACAGAAAAGCTATACACCTCAACATGCTGAAAAAGTTGATTATGGTTCTACACACAAGGCCAACAAAAGCAAATGGTTCTTAAGGAATGCATTATGCACATAGACTGTATAAAAGAGTGGACTAAGCGAGTGTCATTCATAGAGTCTAATGAAGCTCAGGATGCTAGCAGTTGTAGGAGCAAATTAGGGGCCAGTTCCATATTAAGAATAGGAATTTATTCACAAACAAAATAGCTAAATAAAAACACCAAGATCATGTACCGAGGTTCACTGCAGCAATTACAGAGAGGGGTGACAATTTTTTTTATGTAAAGTCAAATGGAAACAGAGTTGATGGAGCCAGAAGCGCAGCCATGAACACTTCCTATTTGGAAAACTATCTATTTATATATAGTCTATGATTATGCATAACCTTTCTATACCATTGCATTGGGGGCTTTGAAATTATTTGAAACTGCAATTTGTATATTTTTTTAAAGGATCCAAACTCATATTGAAATCTGAGATCGATCAAGATGAGCAAAGCAACTGTCAACCAGCCCTTCATTGCACATATACGTTGAATAACATAAAACCACTCCTCTATAAGTCCACTCCTCACTGTCTGTTTCCCCATAATTATTCCAATAGGGTCCCAGTCTCCATCCGTTTTCAGGGTCGAGGCCCGGGGGACAGGACGAGCCCACACTGTCTCTGAATCAGACATAATGGAGCATGGCTTCTGAGCTCAAGTGTTTTTGGTTCAATCGACAAGAAGAAGGTATAATCGCCGTGACAATGATGGATTCTTCTGGATAAGTATGGGATTGTTGTGTCTGTCTCAAGTTGTTCTTATCAGCGCCACCCCAAGTTCTGCACAGAAACATAAAAGTCACAGTATAATGAATAGAAATGTATTTTATACACACATACATTCTTTTCTTAAAGGGCCCACATTACACTATTTTCTGATCTATCTTAAAATGTTGTTTGGAGTTGTGTTTTGTATCATTCACTCATGTTCCTAAATCCTGCATATTTAAGCTCACTTCTTCTCTCAAACTGAAAACACTCTATTCCACCTTGTGATGTCATGAGTAATACAGAAAGTGCTACATTGTGATTTAAACTCCATACACCTTCACTAGAATCATTTGGATGATTTCAGCACTAGAATATCCAATCTCTACTGAATAAAAAGTAAAACGTAGCTGTTAACCTGACATCAAAAGCTGGAACAGATCATTCTGAGCTTTGGACATGTTGACAGAGTAATAATAAAGGAATAATAAAGCAAACATGTGTGAATGAAACAAAATGCAACTCCAGGTATGCTTTTGAGAAGGTATTGACATTATAACATTACTTAAACCTCACAAGAATCCATTTTGTGTAATACAGGCCCTTTAATTACTCAAGAGCCCTCGGGTATTACCTGGTGCAGTCTTTGTGTGGGCCCAGTGGTCAGTGGTCAGTCAGATGGGTGTTCAGGACAGGACCGATTAATCTCAAACCATGAGTCTATACAGCTAAACACACACAACATTTCGTTAGTGCTGTTACATTTGTTTTGTTTTTATATTTGCTTCCCAGTTCTCCCCTAAACTATGGCCATACAACTCGCTACTTTTCTTTATTATTTATACGCCCTCCACTAGGAATTCTTTATCATTTACAAGCACAAACTGGCAACTTTAAGGTCTGTCCTCTCTGTTGTTTGTTCATTGACTGCATTTATTTATACGGGAATAGGTTTCAAATACAAAAATGCTAACTCTATAGTATTGACATGGCAAAGTCGATGTGCAGTCATGATATGTGGTGTGCTTTTACTTGATGGAAAAGTCCAGGCTTGCATCAGTTATGCTGACACCTTCTGACATCATGATGTACTGCTCAAAATTGCCTGGGTAAAATATGTACCACTGGGACTGAGCTAGGGGACTATTTTATTTCTAAGATGTTTGGTCAGGAGCTGGAAACTTGTACACTGCAAAAAGTAATGAGTAAAAATGACTTAAATTAAGAACATTTTACTTTATTTGAGTAGATTCATCATAAGTAAAGTAAAATTATCTAACAATGGAATAGGTGTATATTTCTTAATTCAAGCAATATTCTATTTTGTTTTTATTTTAAGTGCAAAGAGTTGTTTTTCTTATCTTAAAGGTGCACTGTGTGACTTTTGTAGTAGAGGACCCATGGAAATGATATTGCTTTGCCTGGTATGTTCCACAATATGACATTTAGCATATTTGTTTCCATGGTAACAGGCAAGTAACTCCACTAGGTCAGATCTGTGGAGATGTTACCCTTCTTATAGTATGAATGCATTTTGTTTGTTTGTTTGTTTGTTTACAAGCAATAAAAATGCAAGTAATTGTGTTAAATGTAAGATTTGAGTTTAATTTCATACTATGGAACATTCAAGGCAAAGCAATAACATCTCCATCCATGGAAATGGGCAAGTAGCAAACCCTCCACTGCAAGAATATTGTAGCAAGATATATTTACATATTTTTAGTATAAAAGCCTTGTTCCATTGGTTGATGATTTAATTTGTAACTACCTCATATCATTATAAAACATTCTTAATTCAAGAAATTTTAACTTGACTACATTTTAGTTTTTGAAATGTAGTAAGGATTCACACAAGATTTATCATGTATTTTCATCAAGAAACAACTTTGTTTAATTTCAGTTTAACTCTTTATTGTATCTATTTAATTCTGCCCAAAGATCCTTTTCTGTATCAAACAATCGTTCTCAGTTATTATCATTTTCACCTACTCATTATGTCCTTCGCTATCAATCTCACATCAAAATTTGACTACTGTATTTAGAAAAACAACACTTGGCATCTTTAACCCTGTGACAAAATAACTTCTAAATCAATATAAACGCCTTTTGTCCATTAAGCCTTTCATTGCAGTGTATAGTAATTTCATTAGGAGAAGTGGAGAATTATAGAAGTGGCAGGCGTTCAAAGAGTGTCTCACCTTTTGTGGTAGATGCAGAGGCACGGCAGTCTGGCGATGGTGTCCCCTTGCTGCAGCTCTTCCAGACAGATTACACACTCCCCAGCGTCCCTCGCCAACACATCATCTGAAAACACACAGAACCCACAACCAAGTCAGATACAGTACTATCTTTCATCCTAGCACTATCTTTCATCTGTAGCAGACATCAAACATGGCCACAGCAGAGTGAAGAGCCAGGGTCGTAACGACTTAAAATGCACCAATCCAGTTATTTCACTTCCTGATAATTTTAAAGAGGCTGGATTATGGATTTTTGGGAGTTTATACCTTTTACACAAAGACATTGTAAAAAACTGAACTGTGTGGGAGTGTGACGTCAAACACAGTGCTCAGCTCCAGTCAAATGAGGCTAATGATAATAGCATTTATAGGGGCGAATTTGGAGCCAAGTTTTAAATTTGAAATAGGAATTTGTTTTCTGACATACAGTATAATAGCAAAATAAAAACACCAGAAGTCGATGGAGCTGTAAGTGCCCTCATGAACACATACTATTTAAAAAATGGCACCTAGCAGGTTAGCTTTGTCCAATTATACTGTAAATACAGTCCATGCTTCTAAACCATGGACTTTGTAGAGGCATTACCTCCACCCTATCAGTCATGATGTAGTTATAAAAAGCTCCAGCAGATGGTGTAAGGCCTGCACATGCTGACATAGTGAGATCCTGAGCTAAAAACAAAGCTGGTCACTACTACACTTTCTCAGACAGTTTTTGACATAATCAGAACAAATTTGATGGACTCTCGACTCCAAGGACTCAATAAGAAGAAAAAAGTGTGACAAGTTGTGTGATCTGGTGACTTACTGAGTCTGTAGAGTTCATAAAAACTGATATATTGAAAATTCCTTTTACTCTAAATGTGCTTTATCATAACTAGTGGAGAACGTGGTTTCATCAGAAAGAACATCCACTGCAGACACCAAAATACAATAATACTTGAATAATACTTGGTGAAGTGGAAGGCTCTAGTGGCAGTGGGCATGTCTCTGAATAGTGGGCGGTCCTTGTCATGGCTTTGGCTGCTGATTAAAATAAAAAAACACAGTGAAGTCTAATCCACACTGAGTCAATTAGAGGCAGCCTGCTCCCAGCATGCCACCAATTATAAGCCTGCAGTGTGTCATCTTGCTGCTCAGCTCACTCACACGCCCCCTGCTGGGAGAGAAGCGCCTAGACTAATGGAATCAATGCACAGATCTAACTGTTTTTGTGTAAACTCCAAATGTGTTTATTCAGATGTACATTTATGTAAGGGCTTCGGAGAATTAACCCCTAAGTATTACACAGCACAGCATTATGGGTTCAAGTTTGGGGAATTCTTTTATAATGTTCAGTCTGTAAGCGCTCGTTCACTTCAGTATTGATACTTTACAGTCATTTCTTGTTGGGGGTGTTCTACATATATTTCTATGGTGGAATGTGCAGGAGTTACCATGGTGACACTATGCAGGCATTAGCAAACACTGTCAAAAAAGTTTTAAGATTGTCTGAATACTCAAAAAAACAAAAAAACAAAAACATTTTCAGAAGCCTGCAATCAATGAGCGTTCATAGTTCTGTTGAAGAGAATTTAGGACATAGGACCTCATTTCCTAGTTAGTCTTTCTATCCAGTACTTGTATTTGCAGAGGTCGTTGGTGCTAGGCTAGCACATGTCAGTGGTCATAGTTAGCCTGCTACTAAAAACAGTCTTACCCACTCCACAAAGCACCTGAAGCAAATCTATCTATTGCTGTGAAAATCTGTGTTGATAAAATAATGTTTGAAATAAAACTAACCTTGCATTTAAAGGATTTATGTCTGAACAGCAGCAGCAAGTTTTACAGCAGCGGCTCGATATATGAGAAAATAGTCCCTCAACATGCGACAATTCAAGCGATGCAAGGTTAGTTTTATTTTAAACATTATTTTATCAACACAGATATTAACATTTATAGTCTGGCAAAATAATTGTTTTGCTTCATGTGCTTTGTGGAGTGGGTAAGACTGCCAGCTAACTATGGCCATTGACATGCACTAGCCTAGCACCAGCGACCTCTGCAAATACAAGGACTGGATGGAATTTTTTTTTTTTAAGTGTCTCCACACGTCTCCAACACTCTGGCTAACTAGGAAATTAAGCCCTATGTACAAAATTCCGAACTGTCACTTTAAGCTGTTTAATTTTCAACAAAAATGGTGAGTGTGAGTAATCAAAAAACTTTTGGGATTTGAGAGAGAAGGTTTTGGTAAATTAAAGAAAGCTGAAGTGCTGATCACAGAATGGGTATGTAAACAATAAAATTAAATTAAGGATTTTACTGATGTTTGGTCACAACAAACATCTATCTATTAAGGGAAGGTTTGTTTGTGTCTCTATTTGTTTGTATCTGTAAACATAAATTTTGACATCCCTGTGAAGGAAAAGGTGATGTGTAGTAAACCAATAATAGAAAGAAAGAAACCCCCCCTCTTTTACTGGTGATGGTGAAGAGAGGGAGAGGCTGAGGTGGCTGGTGGTTATGCTGCTATGTTGAAGAAAGGATGGAGGAGAGGAGAGAAGATTAATATCTATTTACTATGGCTGCAATTAATGTTTATAGTAGTCAACTAGTCAGCCATTATTCAAAGCAATTGTTGCAGTCCCATTATGTAAATGACTTGAATTGAATGAGTATCAAAACACTGCAGGTCGTAACTATCTGACAGGCACTAAGAGGTAGAAAATTCCACTACACTCTCCATATTCTCATCACAGAACATTAAAAGTGACTCTTGTGAGCTTTAATGCTGTTACAACACCAAAATCATACCAGGAGTTGTGTTTTGTTTCATTCACACATGTTTGAGTAACCTTTTATAATTAGTTTGTCTACATTTCCAAAGCTCAAAATGCTCTGTTCCACCTTGTGATGTCATGAAGTAGTTTTCAAGTTAAAAGCTACCTTTTACCATATTTTCAGCAAAGACTGAACCAGGACTGAATCACGACTGAACCAGAACTAAACCAGGACTAACCCAGAACTGAAACAGGACTAAACCAGGACAGAGCCAGGACTGAGTGTCGGGACGGGCCTGGAAGTGCACCCACGTAGACCGTTGGGTGATCGCGGACGAAAGGACCTGTGCAGAGCTCCACGACCCACAGGGCTAAGCACAGCCACTGCCCGATCTCACTTTGCGGACACCCTGCGCTGTGAGCTCGGAGTTCTCCCTCTCTCTCAAGTCCAAGATTAGTCCTGGTTTAGACCTGGTTTTGTCCTGTTTTAGTCCTGGTTCAGTTCTGGTTTTAGTCCTGGTTTAGTCATGTTTTAGTCCTGGTTCAGTCTTGGTTTTGTCCTGGTTTAGTCTGGTTCAGTCCTGGTTTAGTCTTGGTTTAGTCCAGTTTTAGTCCTGGTTCAGTTTTAGTTTAGTCCTGGTTCTGTCCTGGTTCAGTTCTGGTTTTAGTCCTGGTTTAGTCCCGTTTTAGTCCTGGTTCAGTTCTGGTTTTGTCCTAGTTTAGTCTGGTTCAATCCTGGTTTAGTCTTGGCTTAGTCCAGTTTTAGTCCTGGTTCAGTCTTAGTTTAGTCCTGGTTTAGTTCTGGTTTAGACCTGGTTTAGACCTGGTTTAGTCCTAGTTATGTCCTGGTTCAGTCTTGGTTTATGTTTAGCAGGTATGATTAATGATAATAACATAATTCCGCATTATTTTGAGGGGGAGTCACATCGATGACGTCATGAATTGTGTACCCCCACTACACCACTGGATTCAAGTGAAGGTGTATGGAGTTTAAAAACACAGTGGAGAACTTCCCTTATTACCACATGACATCGCAAGGCGCAACAGAATGTTTTCTGTTTAAGAGAAGAACTCAGCCTAAATATGCAGGGTTCGTATGTTAAACGTGTGAATGAAACAAAACACAACTCAGGGTGTTTGTGATGAGGAAACAACATTATAACATAGATCAGAGAACAGCATAATATGGGCCCTTTAATTATTGCTCCATGTGTTCTGTAGCATTGACAGTGAAAACTAGGCTGAATGATAAGCAGACAAAGCTGATGTTATGGTGTAAGAATAAGTCTAGAGATTGAATAACACACTGAAGACATATGCTCTGACTGCAAATCAGCTTAGAACTCCCATAACCCCACTGCACTATCTCTCTCCTCACCCCATCTGACTTCATTGTTCACTGCGTCTCTGTCCTCTCTCCACTTCTTTAGGCCTCCATATCACGTCCCCCGTCAGGCCACTTCAGGTAACGCTGCAGCTCATCCCGGATTTACAGACAACTGTGTTTTTCAGTGACATTAGGTGACACAGTTTTACAATGTCTAATATGTATAGACAATAGACACGACACCGATGGAGACTAAAGGGATGTTGCAATATATCATTTTAGTGTTACCACTTAAAGTTTTTATATTACACCAACTGACTCTTGTGAGCATTAAATCGTGTTAGAATGTTGTTATCTCCTCAAAAACATACCTGGAGTTGTGTTTTGTTTCATTCACACATTTGAGTAACCCTTTCATAATAATCTGTGTACATATCCAAAGCTGAAAATGCTCTATTGCACCTTGGGATGTCATGAAGTAGTATTTTTCAAGTTAATGGTTACCTTGGCTTTTATCTTTAGTTCAGCAGAGACCAAATCACAAGCTGGAGCAGAACGTTTTCTGTTTGAAAGAAGAGCATAGCCTAAATATGCAGAGTCTGTGTGTTAAAGTCTGTGTGTGAATGACGCAAAACACAACTCCAGGTAAGATTTTGATGATGAAACAACACAAATCAGAAAATAGCGTATGGGCCCTTTAACTATTGTTCCCAGTTGGACAGCAGGGCCAAGAAACAGTGAAATCTAATTCTTATTCATTTCCTTTGTCTAATAGATGACCTTTCTTCTGTGTGACCAGGCTTTATGAAATTAAACTTTCAAGTAAGTTTAAAGTGACATATCTTACTTATTTTACTTCTAATATTCTCACAATTATACTGTAGTCTATTATTCCTTAAGATTCTAGTGTGACCTGCATTATCCTGATAACCCATTTAAAAAATTATAACCAAATAATCACCCCAAACACTAACT